ACATTTTCAATACACCATCGCTCTCCCACATATATACATCCATATACATACAGACCAAGAGGAAAAAAAAATCATTTTCTTAGTGCATGGACCAATCCCTATAATGCTGCCAAGTCCATCCGGTCCATGATGTTCCAAGTTCATTCTCTGTTGGGATGATGGCTGGAGGGAAGTCAGGGCCAGTCGCTGGTGACCTGGAGACATCTAGTTGATGGGCTATAAAAGCATTACACAGCAGGCAACAGCATACAATTGAGTTCACTGGCTGTTTTCCCCTAAAATCAAATCCCCTTGAGGTATACATCGGACTTCCCCATCTTCCCGCATTACCCACCAAGTATATCCAGGTCCCTGAGCAAAAGCAATCCCACGAGTGGGTTTGCCTTTACCTGAAGCAGGAATAACCCAGACTGTCTTCCCCAGCAAATTCTTCATATGCACCACGGGAACTTTGTCCCCCTCTACAATATGTAAAAGTTCTGACTGGGCTGGGCCAGCCCTGTTGGCAGATGCTCTGGTGTTGACCAGCCAGGTGGCCTTTGGTAAATGTGTATCCCAATGCTTGAAAGTTCCCCCACCCATCGCTCTCAGTGTAGTTTTTAACAGCCCATTGTACCGTTCGATTTTCCCAGAGGCTGGTGCATGGTAGGGGATGTGATATACCCACTCAATGCCATGCTCTTTGGCCCAAATATCTATAAGGTTATTCCGGAAATGAGTCCCATTGTCTGACTCAATTCTCTCTGGGGTGCCGTGTCGCCACAAAATCTGTTTCTCAAGGCCCAGGATGGTGTTCCGGGCAGTGGCATGGGGCACAGCGTATGTTTCCAGCCACCCGGTGGTTGCTTCCACCATGGTAAGCACATGGCGCTTGCCTTGGCGGGTTGGTGGCAGTGTGATATAGTCAATCTGCCAGGCCTCCCCATATTTATACTTCAACCATCGTCCTCCATACCAAAGAGGCTTTAACCGCTTGGCTTGTTTAATTGCAGCACATGTTTCACACTCATGAATAACCTGGGCAATAGTGTCCATTGTTAAGTCCACCCCTCGGTCACGGGCCCATCTATATGTTGCATCTCTGCCCTGATGGCCTGAAGTGTCATGGGCCCACCGGGCCAAAAATAATTCACCTTTATGTTGCCAATCTAAGTCCATCTGAGCCACTTCAATCTTAGCCGCTTTATCCACTTGTTGGTTGTTCTGGTGTTCCTCAGTGGCCCGACTCTTGGGTACATGGGCATCTACATGACGTACCTTCACCACCAGGTTCTGCACCCGGGCAGCAATATCTTTCCACAGTGCAGCAGCCCAGATGGGTTTACCTCTGCGTTGCCAGTTGCTCTGCTTCCATTGCTTCAACCACCCCCACAGGGCATTTGCCACCATCCATGAGTCAGTATAGAGATAAAGTACTGGCCACTTTTCTCGTTCAGCAATGTCCAGGGCCAGCTGGATGGCTTTCACCTCGGCAAATTGACTCGATTCACCCTCTCCTTCAGCAGTTTCTGCAACTTGTCGTCCAGGACTCCATACAGCTGCCTTCCATCTCCGATGCTTTCCCACAATACGGCAAGAGCCATCAGTAAACAAGGCATACTGCTTTTCACTTTCTGACAGTTTATTATATGGTGGGGCCTCTTCAGCACGCACCACCTCCTCCTCTGGTGACATTCCGAAATCTTTGCCCTCTGGCCAGTCCATGATGACTTCTAGAATGCCTGGACGACTGGGATTTCCTATTCGAGTTCGTTGTGTAATTAGTGCAGCCCATTTACTCCATGTAGCATCAGTTGCATGATGTGTAGAGGAGACCCTGCCTTTGAACATCCAGCCCAGCACGGGCAGCCGGGGTGCCAGGAGGAGCTGTGCTTCAGTGCCAATCACTTCCGAAGCAGCTCGAACCCCTTCATAGGCTGCCAGTATCTCTTTCTCAGTTGGGGTAGAGCTGGCCTCAGATCCTTTGTATCCCCGACTCCAAAAGCCGAGGGGTCGACCTCGAGTCTCCCCTGGAGCTTTCTGCCAGAGGCTCCAGGTAGGACCGTTCTCCCTAGCTGCAGTGTACAGCACATTTTTTACATCTGGCCCGGTCCGGACAGGTCCAAGGGCTACTGCATGAACTATCTCGCGTTTAATTTGCTCAAAGGCTTGTTGCTGCTCAGGGCCCCATTTAAAATCATTCTTCTTCCCGGTCACATGATAGAGAGGGCTTACAATCGAACTGTAATTTGGGATGTGCATTCTCCAGAACCCCACTGCACCCAAGAAAGCTTGCGTTTCTTTCTTATTAGTTGGTGGAGACATTGCTGTTATCTTGTTGATCACATCTGTGGGGATCTGTCTACGTCCATCTTGCCATTTTATTCCCAAAAATTGAATCTCCTGTGCAGGTCCCTTGACCTTACTCCGTTTTATGGCAAAACCGGCTTTCAGCAGGATTTGGATTATTTTCCTCCCTTTCTCAAAGACTTCTTCCGCTGTATCGCCCCACACAATAATGTCATCAATGTATTGCAGGTGTTCTGGAGCTTGCCCCTGTTCCAGTGCAGTCTGGATCAGTCCGTGGCAAATGGTAGGGCTGTGTTTCCACCCCTGGGGCAGTCGGTTCCAAGTGAACTGGACACCCCTCCAAGTAAAAGCAAACTGTGGCCTGCACTCTGCTGCCAAAGGAATGGAGAAAAATGCATTGGCAATATCAATCGTGGCATACCACTTGGCTGCCTTTGACTCTAGTTCATACTGAAGTTCTAGCATGTCCGGTACGGCAGCACTCAATGGTGGTGTGACTTCATTCAGGCCACGATAGTCTACTGTTAGTCTCCATTCTCCATTAGACTTTCGCACTGGCCATATGGGGCTATTGAAGGGTGAGCGGGTCCTGCTGATCACCCCCTGACTCTCCAGTCTACGGATCAGCTGATGGATGGGAATCAGGGAGTCTCGGTTGGTGCGATATTGCCGCCGGTGCACTGTTGTGGTCGCAATTGGCACTTGTTGTTCTTCAACTTTCAGCAACCCCACAGCAGAGGGATCTTCTGAGAGACCAGGCAAGGTGGACAGCTGCTCAATTTCCTCAGTCTCCAAAGCAGCAATACCAAAAGCCCACCGGTACCCTTTTGGGTCTTTGAAGTACCCTCTCTTGAGGTAGTCTATGCCGAGGATGCATGGAGCCTCTGGACCAGTCACAATAGGGTGCTTTTGCCACTCCCTCCCAGTCAGACTGATTTCAGCCTCCAGCACAGTCAACTCTTGGGATCCTCCTGTTACTCCAGAAATATAGATGGGTTCCACCCCTTGACAGCTTGATGGCATCAGGGTACACTGTGCACCGGTATCTACTAGAGCCTTATACTTCTGTGGGACTGATGTGCCAGGCCATCTGATCCACACAGTCCAGTAAATCCGATTGTCCCCTACCTCCACCTGGCTGGAGGCAGGGCCCCTCTAATGGTCGTCACAGCATTGGACACTTAAGTCGTGTTGAAAGGGATTATTCTTCGTTATCACAGGAGCTGGAGTAAAATCAGCTCTTCCACTCCATCTGGGAAACTGCTCACCAGAGACTGAAGCCGTAGCTCTCATGGGACGATCAGTCTTGGCCCTTGCTCCCCTCTTCAGTTCACTCACCCGTTCCTCCAAAGCTGAAGTAGGTTTTCCATCCCACTTTGTCATGTCTTCTCCGTGATCCAGCAGGTAAAACCATAGGGTACCCCGTGGCGTATACCTTCTGTATCTCCTCTCTTGAACAATAGGACGTCTTTTGTTAATAGCTGAGACGCGTGTTGGTACACGTGAGGAGCTGGATAAATCAGATACATCGTCCCTCAATTTGTCGAGGTCCTGGGACAGTTTTTTCACAGCTGAGATGATGGAAGGAGTGAGATTGTCTTCGAACTCTCGGAGTTTATGAACCATTTCATCCACTGTTAGTGGTACTATGTCATTCCAGGTCACTGTTGCCAATGAATGGGCATATGATGACGGTGCATTCCGTGTAAGTTTTCGCCACATGGGTCGTGTACATTCAACTTCATCTGGATCTATAGGTGTATCCCCGTTATTCGGCTTGATGTGATAGATCATTTCTACGATGGCCGATTCCCTCAGAGACTGGATGCCTTTGTCTATAGTAGTCCACTTGGCCGAACGACTCGTAACATCGTCCTTGTACGGAAACCTTTCTTTCACAGCTGCCAAGAGCCGCCTCCAAAGGCTGAGGGACATTTTCTCTCTTGCAATTGCTTTGTCAATTCCCCCTTCTCTAGCAAGTGATCCCAGCTGCTTGGCTTCTGTACCTTCTAGTTCGTGACCATCGGCCCCATTGTCCCAGCATCGGAGTAACCAGGCCATATTTTGTGCTTAAGAGATTCATCGGCATACAGATGCTACAAAGAACTGTCGTGGTTTAAACCCAGTCAGGTAACTTGTTCACTCACTCCCAGTGAGTGGTGCCGAGCTGACAACAATCAAGGTCCGTGTTCGTCTCCCCCCCCCTCCCTGCACCGGGGCTCTCCCCTTCCCCGCTCCCGGAGGAACGGGGAGGAGGATCGAGAGAGTGCAACTCCTACGGGTTGAGACAAGAACAGTCCAGCAACAAATCACCACCGCTACTATCAGCTAAAACAATGATAAGGGAAAATAACAAGGGAAGAGAATACGATACCACCGGCCAAGAAAACGAGTTCCACCCGGAAGCCCCTGTCCTTCCGGGTAACTCCCAGTTACCCCCCACCCCGGGCATGACGTGCTGTGGTATGGAATACCTCCCCGGCTAGCCCGGGTCAGGCGCCCCGCCTCTGCTTCCTCACAGCCTCCCCTCTTCCCTGGCAGAGCATGAGCCTCACAGAGTCCTTGGTCAGGGTAAACATCACTTAGCAACAACCGACAACATCGGCTTCACCAACGCTGTTCTCAAAACTAGAAGTCAAAACACAGCACTGCACCAGTTAACACAAAGGAAAAAAAACATGACTGCTACTGCTGAACCCAGGACATCTCCAAATGGATCCTACAGCTCTTCATGTTCAGGGAGGTTTCAAAAGCTGCACTCTTCATCTCATCATCCTCTCTCGCAGACTCGTGGGGAGACATCCAGACTGTGGCCAGCTGCCTACAGTCCCTCTTTTACAAAAAGACCAGTTCTAATAAGCAGAGAGAGAAAACTAGAAAATAGTTTCATTACCCATCAAGATAACTCAAATCCTTCAGCAGACTCTGCCAAGTCACTATGCCAAAACTCTGTAAGACGAAATTCATATATGGCTCCCATCTTCTCTGCAATTATTTATTTACTAGATTTACAGTGCCACTAGACTCAGCAAGACCTGCTGTGTTGCTCATGCTTTGCAAATGCTTGAAACTATGAACTGTCAGGTCTGGATGATCTATTTAACAGTGGCCTCGGGATGCCAGACCTGGCTGCAGAGGCTTTGCTCACGCCCTGAATCCATTTCTGTTTGGGTCATGTCCCTGCACCACACTCCCCTCTGCAGCCTTGGCCTTTGAAAAATTATGTAGAGGTTTCTAATTCGCTGATGCACTTGAATAAATTCCAAAACATACCTTTAGGTACCCAAATTTTTCTGTGTATCTACTAGGGTACAATCAGTGCAAATTTCTCCTTTGATTTTGCTGTAAGAAGAATCTTATTCTTTCTGAACTCAGCAGCTGGTTTTTTTATTGACTTACAAGAAAGTATAAATTGTGGCTAAAATTTAAAAATGATCAGTGTATGGTTCCAGAACAGCTCAAGTTGCCAGACAGGAAAGAGTTGGTCCTGCCAGAACACCGTGCTGTCATCAAACCCTCGTTTTGTAAGTCAGCTTCACTAAGGTGGACAAAGTGGTCTTTCCTGCCCATTGATCACACAAATCCAGTCTGAAGACTTGTTTACTCTACATGACAGTTACAGGAGACAGACCTGATTAGATATTTCTGTTCTGATCAAGAAGCTTCTCACAGGCAATCCTGTGACTGTAAAGCAAATCCCTCCTCAGAGCTCAGCTGCACGCTCTGTCTGATGAGCTGTGCTTAGCTATGCTTCCTCCAGACCTGCAAAACAATATGCTTTGATAACGATGCACAGTGTGTTTTGAGGTTCAGGAAGAGACATATTCACCTTCACACTCTTATTCTTGAGATCCAGCAACGATTGTTTCCAATCGAAGGACACTCAAGTTTTTCACATCTTCTCTGAAGTACATACAGACCAAGTGTTAGTTCACTCCTGCACATCTCTCCCTATTGCCTTCCAGTTAAAATGCAGACCAAGTACTTTATTAATGCCCAAACAGCAATACGTCAAGGCTCCATGTGCTGTCTGTTTATTAAGCAGCTCCAAAGACTGTACTAACAGGTCTAACAATATTGAATTTGATTTACATTTCAAGTGCAACGTGTTCCCTACAGGAATGCTCTGTAACAGGTCTTTTCATGGCACAAGAACAATAACTGATCAAACACATTTCTTGAAGCTATGCCAACAGTTATTTATCTGTTGTGTTTGTGACTGCTTAGTAGCAGAAATTATGGCCTCAATGTTGCTCTCTGCTGAACAACTAAGGATTAACTCCTCTGAAACCAGTGCAGTTACCTAGCATTACATTTGAAAACAGAACTGGCATTAGCATAGCTGAATAATTAAAGTCAAATAAAGGATGGCAAAACACATAGAGTTTGCTGTTTCCTCCAATATGCTGTAGTGCAAACCCTTTTGGACCAGTACAACTCGAAATACTCTTCCCACAGGCACCAACCAACGTCATTGCTCTTTGTCTGGTCCAGAGTGTGGTAGCTCAAAGGTAACACACACAAACGCAGCAGAGTGAACTTCCCAGGGTGGTCACAAATTGCAGAGTGCATTCTTGTTTGTGCCAGTCAACCTTTGCAACATGCTTAGCCCACTGCTAATGGTCCAAATGGTCCAACAAGTCTGACAGTCTTCAGCACAAATCACTTCTCTTGTCCTTGAGCTCCTTCTACAGTATCATGACCTCTTTTCACCTCACTGTGGAACATCTGAAATGCTCCATGACTCGGTTACTAGGTACATATTTTGAAAGAAAATTCTCCTGAGAAAATTCACCTTTGCAAAAGTTCCTATTGGAAAATTTTAGAGTTCCCAATGGAAATAAGGATAGTAGGAGGAAAGCAGATTTTGTGTTTGCTTTAAGTGTTAAATAAGCTTTTGATTCAAAGCCAAGTGGTACATTGTCATAAATGGGAACACAATTTTAATGACTTCTTTTTATTTTAAAAGTTAATTGTTTTCCTTCCAAAATACTTACTTTGTTTTCCCTAAAACTACATTTTTAGGCACAGACAAAAATAACAGCCCCCAAAACTCTATTTTCAAAAAAGAAGACTCGCTCTCCTTGGATTTTAACTGGAAATACTTATGACTTGTATTGACAGAAAAACCAATAAAGGCACTTTCTGCTTATCCCTTGCTACCCTTTAAAACAATCTGTCCACCAATCCAATTGCTCCATCTGTTTTAAAAACAAAATTGCAGTTTACTACTAGGATATTCTCTATCCAAATGCTGAACAGCTTGTAGCTAAGTATTAATCCATAAAAAACTGAAAACAATATCTTATTAATTCACAAAAATCAATATTCCCATACACATTTTGGAGCAGGTTCATTACAGTTAAGCCCAAATTTATGCAATGGTCAAAACTATCCAAAATGTACCTGTTTACCTATAAAGAGACAAACTGGTTGCTAAACCTCATTCTGCCAAAAACAAGTTCTGTGAGAGAACTCAGGGGAAAAGAAAAAGTTACCTTACAGTGTATGTCAACTTTGTGCAGTAGTTGTTTCTTCTTTAACAGAGAATAACCCACAGCTGGGATAGTTAAAATAAAATAAAATTAAAATAAAATAAAACAAAATAAATAAAATATAGTAATAAAAAAATAATAAAAATATAAGATATAAAATACAGAAAAGAACTGAGCTCTGTACCTATTCCAATGACAATTCTTCCTGAGGACTGTCTGCCAATTCAAACATCCTTGAAAAGGATGTGGCATCAGAACAGGCTTAGTTGCATCAATCTGGGTGTCCCATAGCATTCCTTTGAATACTGAATCCTATACAGGCTAATTTCCTCAAGTAAGTCTAATACCTTAAAAAACACATGGGACAAAAAAACAACAACTTTCAAAGCCTATGGCTCTTACAGCGGTGGTTTTACTAGCAGTCCAAATGCAACAGCCATTGATAGTGATGGGAATTCTTCCACTGGCTTCAGTACATACCTGATCTGAGATCCTAAAAATAAACAAAGCCTGAAATTCCCAGAAGTAGAAATCTATTGTCATTCAACAAATACATATATGTACATAGATATGTATGCATGCATGAATATATGAGAAATTATATCTCATTTGCTAACAATGGGAAAAGTTTATACATTTATGTTTATTTATAGATATAATTTTTTTCATTACTGACAATTAAAACCTGACCACTTTTCACATGGTGACATTGGGCTATAAGATTTCCCTCTTTCTCTAGTTCCTTGAAAGAAAGTGGTTCATGAATCATGAAGGTTAAATACAAATAACCTGCATTACCAGTCACAGAAGACATGTGGTTAATTGCTGTCTGCCTTTATTGCTAATTGCTGAACAACAGCACACTGGCACACCTACCACAGGCTTCTGAAGATAAAAAACACAGCATATGCACCAATTGTTTGTGTTCTCTTTACATCACTTTTCTTCCAAAACCAGATGGGTACAATTCACAGACCCTGCCCCTTAATCTCCTTTCCCTTACACTAAACAGTAATTCCCCTGGCTGATAACTCCTGTGTTAAGCCAAGTCAGAGAAGAGTCAGCCCAAACAGACAGACTTCAAAGCAGCTCCAGTAAATTAAGTCATTTGCTCTCCAAGACCAAGATTACCTCTCCACCCCTTTCCCATACACAGGGTGGGTTAATATCTCCTCTGCCTCTAATGAAAAAGCTGAGCTGACGTTCCTTCCAACACCAGAGTATGAGATAATCATAACAGACATACCCTGCTGTAAAAGGAATCCACAGAATGGAAAGAAATAAATAAAATTTCACACCATAAGTGGTTTAGGGAGATGGAGCAGTTCCATCATTTGACAAAGCAGTTCTTTCAGGTTTAAGTCCCTTGGAAAGGGGAAACTTTCTGTTGAGGAAAGTGGTCACCCTGCTTCACTGTGCCAGTGCTCACAGCCCTCCCAGGCTGTCTGGGCCCTTGCCAGCCCTTCTTAGGTTATCTAAGAGATGATGCATGGGTGTCAAGAGAGAAAAATATGGGTCAGTGGGCCCCCCTGAACAAGGACCCCCAACAGCATATCATTTATATTGTGAGACTGAGTCTGGCTGGCCATGAAGGCAAATCTTCCCTTTGGAAATACATATTGATCGTGCAAGGAATTGTCCTCTACCATGCAGTGCTTTAGCCTTCCTGCAAATTGTAAATGCCTCAGCAGCCTGAAGCACCAGCCTCTGAGTATGAAAATGCAATTTGATTCATGAGATGAGGTGCATTGTCAAAGGTTCTCTGAGAAAGAGGATGGCACAGATTAGACACAACACATTTCTCAGATCAAATCAATGGATTCAGACAGGAAAATAGCATATTTGCTGGAATGATATACCGCCTGTGTGGTGTTCCTCTTGAGTTCCCATATCACGTTCTTGTTAGCTTCCCCATTGTTACCCCTCACAGACATTTTACTTTCTTCTCCTTTTCTCATCACACCAAGTTCTGCTAGAGAGCACATGTTTCTTCTCATTGAATTTCATTTTCTCTCTGTAGAAACAGATTAGCAAGAACCATATTTCCTGGTCTATTCTTGGCCATGCCATGTTCCTGACACTCAGGCTAAAAACCTAGAAAGCAATAACCTTGCCAAAAAATTCAGGTTGGCATGCAAAGGAGATAAAATCAGTAACAGAGTGATTAAGGAGCTCTAAGTGATACTTTACAAGGAAAGACTGAAAAAACGAAATCTATATAACTGTGCTGAATGATAATTAAATCAGCACATCTACAGGCTATTGAAGTATTAAATAAAGGCCAACTCTCCAGAGACATGGAAATCAAGAGGATTTGGGCACCTGAATGCCTCTGCAAAGCCAGGTGAACAAGCCAG